ACCCCTCCAAGGTCACCAGGGAGCCACCCCCTGTGGTCCTGCGGTTTTTCTGTTTCCTCCTGCCTGTGCTCAGGAGATGAAGGCGCCAGGAATGGCAGCTGGGCCGGGGAGGGGTCTGGGTGAGCTTGGGGACAGGCGGGGACAGCAGTGGACTTCGGCGGCCCGTCCCCCTCTCCCTCCTGTCTTTCTGCCTCACCGTCCTCCCTGAGTCCGCAGTTGGGCTGCGGCCTCTCCTCCCAGGCCCACTGCCTGCACCCCCATCTCCCGAGGGCTCCTGGAGCGGAGCGGAGCACCGGGGAGTCCGGACAGCAAGCTCTGCCGCTGGCATCGGCTTGTCACCAAGCCCCTGCGGGGTCCGCGCCTGTCCCTTTGCCCGGGAAAGGGTTGTCCTTCCTGCCCCGTGGCCAGCGCGGGCTGTGCGCGCCGGAGACAAAGCCCTGGCTATCGGAGGCTCGAAATGTGTTTTGCCGTCAGATGCTCTTTAACAGGAAAGGCTCCGCCGCCCGGGGTCCTGTGCCTGGCCAGCGGCCACCGGCGGCCTCTGGCGTCCCGAGACTCGCCAGGAGGGCTCGGGCCGCAGATCCGCCCTGCTCTGGACTCCGGCCGCCTTGGGGTTCTCTGTCCTGGGAGAGCTCGCAGGCCCGGAGGGCGCCCTGCTCGGGACGCTGGGGAGCCCTATGAGGCCGACGTCATCAGGGGCTAAGTCAGTCGCTGGGTGGTGCAGGGCAGGGGGAGGCCCCGGGGCTCCCAGAGGGTGTGGGGGCAGGACAGGGCCCAGCTGGCGGGTGTGCCCCCAGCAGGGAGGGGGCGGTGGGGAGATTGCTAGCTCCGTGTGGGTTCCTGCCTGAGTTCCTGTGGCGGCCGTAACCGAGGACCCTGAACGCAGGGCTTAAAACAGGAGACACCCTCGCTCCCGGGTCAGCAGGGGCCCAGGGTGACGTCAAGGAGGGTCACGCTCCTCTGGAGGCCCTGGGGACGGCCCTTCCTGGCCCTCGCCCCTTGCGGCTTCTGGAGGCTCTGTGGCCGATAGAGGCCCCCCTCCGGTCTCTGCGTCCTTTGTGAGGAGGCCGGCCCTGGACGGCCTCCCCTGAACTAGGTATATTGGCTAACACCTTGTGTCCAAGGCTCCAGGAGGATGAGTTTTGGGGGGACCCTGTGCGGCCATCTGGGCCCAGACTGTGAAACAGTTGCTAAGCCTGACAGCGTGGCCCCTGCCCCTTCCCTGGGGTGGTCTTCTGCTGGGCACCTGCTTCCTTGGTTGCCCTCCAGCCCCATGCCTGGGGTTGCCCCAAGAGGGAGCTCGGCTCACAGCCCTTGGCAGGTGCGGAGCTGACTGGGTGATGTTGGGGACGGGGTCAGGTGTTGCACGAACAGTGGCCGTGAACGTGGGAGGTGAGGCCCAGCCAGCGGTGGACCTTGGGCCTGGCCTCTGGGCCTGCGCCCAGCAGAACGGGAGGCGAGCAGCTAGGGGAGCACGACCCACCCCCACGAGCCTTCCTGAGCTTGGGGTAGACCCTCTCCGCTGGCACGGCAGGCAGCGTCTTGGCATGGCTGCCTGCACCCTCCTCACTGCAGCAGGCATCCCCACACCAGGGGGTGTCTCCTGGTGGAACTAGAGGCCCCCAGCCCAGTGGTGGGGGTGTCAGGCAGCTCTGGAAGCTGGGCCAGGGGCTCTCTCGCACGCCATGGTTTGTTGGGTTCTGGAGGAAAGCGGGGGTAGGGGAAGCCAGGGTCTGCTGGCCTTTCCAGAAATGCTCTCCCAGCCCTGTGGGGTGTGCACAGAGGGGTCCCAGAGGCCCGACCTGCAGGGGGCAGGACCTGCTGCTCACCGAGAAGGCCTGACCCTGTGTCTAGGCCACTGGGGATAAAGACCGGCAGCAAGTCGCTCCTGGGGGAGACATGAGATTTCTGGAATGTTCCACCATCAAGTGGCCCGGGGCGTCCAGCTGCTCCAGCAAGTCACGCTGGCTGCTTCCGGCGGGGAGGGGGAGAAAGAGCCCCAAGCAGACAGGCCTCCCTTGCCAGCGCGGCTCTGTGCGGAGCTGGTTCCGTGGCACTTAGGACCTTGGGCCTTGCACGGCAGCTTTGCTCTTCCAGGAAACTGCCAGGAGTCTAGCTGACTCTGTGGAAGCTTTCGAATTTCATCTGGGGGGCATGGGGGCAGGAATTCACATCTGTGTTTTGCGGTGGCGTGTGAGGAACAGCCCACGCCACTCTGGGGACCGAGATGCCCACGGCGGAGCTCAGCTCTCCTGACGGCAGGCAGGGCCCCCTGACCCGGGCCATGTGGCAAGGGAAGCCCAGAGCCGTGGTCCTGGCCCAGGCTGGGGAAGGGGCCCGCTCCCCAAGCTCGAGAATCAGGCTTCCTCTGCCTCCCTGGGTCAGGGGTGAGCTGGGTCTGGGCTCCGCGTCCCCTCCACCTGCCAAGCTGCGACGGCCCCACCTGGACCCATCTCGGGGACCATGGTGGGGCTGTCCCTGCCTGGTGCCCCAGAGTTAAACCTTTGCTCCCCAGTGGGCACCTCCAGATCCCAGGGAGCTTGCATTTCCTTGTGGGGGCCGTGGGGGCGGCGAGCCAGCTGCCTCCGTCTGTCTCAGGGCGGACTCGCCTCCCCTCCCCTCCCTTCAGCAACTGAGCCATGCGGAGGGTTGGGGTTTCTGCTCTGCTGCTCAGGGGCATCTGAGTCCCCCTCCCGCGCCCTCGGGGAGCTGTGGGCTGTGGGGCTGTGGCCTTTTCCTCTGCCCCTCCCATGCTGAGACTTCATGGGGGGCTGGGCTTGTTTGGTGAATTCTCTGGACTTTATAAAAATAATTGTCTTGAAGTCTTGAACTGTCCTTTTTAAGGGAGGAGGAAGAGGGTTGGTTAAGAAGTCGCTGTCCTTCTGAGGCCAACTCACCCCCTCAGTCACGGGTGTGGTGTGTGTGGTGGGGTGTGTGTGTGGTGGGGGGTGTGTGTGTGTGGTGTGTGTAGTGTGTGTGGGGGTCTCGTGTGTGGTGGTGTGTGTGTGGGGGGTGTGTTTGGTGTGTGTGTAGTGTGTGGTGGTGTGTGTGTGTGGGGTGTGTTTGGTGTTTGTGTAGTGTGTGGTGGTGTGTGTGTGTGGGGTGTTTGGTGTGTGTGTAGTGTGTGGTGGGGGGTGTGTGTGGGGTGTTTGGTGTGTGTGTAGTGTGTGGTGGTGTGTGTGTGTGGGGTGTTTGGTGTGTGTGTAGTGTGTGGTGGGGGGTGTGTGTGGGGTGTGTTTGGTGTGTGTGTAGTGTGTGGTGGTGTGTGTGTGTGGGGTGTGTTTGGTGTGTGTGTAGTGTGTGATGGGGGGTGTGTGTGGGGTGTGTTTGGTGTGTGTGTAGTGTGTGGTGGTGTGTGTGTGTGGGGTGTGTTTGGTGTGTGTGTAGTGTGTGATGGTGTGTGTGTAGTGTGTGGTGGGGGGTGTGTGTGGGGTGTGTTTGGTGTGTGTGTAGTGTGTGGTGGGGTGTGTGTGTGGGGTGTGTTTGGTGTGTGTGTAGTGTGTGGTGGGGTGTGTGTGTGGGGTGTGTTTTGTGTGTGTGTAGTGTGTGGTGGTGTGTGTGTGTGGGGGGTGTGTTTGGTGTGTGTGTAGTGTGTGGTGGGTTGTGTGTGTGGGGTGTGTTTGGTGTGTGTGTAGTGTGTGGTGGTGTGTGTGTGTGTGGGGTGTGTTTGGTGTGTGTGTAGTGTGTGTGTGGGGGGTGTGTGGGGTCTCGTGAGAGCGTGGGGTGTGTGGGGTGGTGAGAGGCTGGGCCGGGGAGCTCTCCAGCCGGGAGCCGTGGAGAGCCGGGATGCAGAACCAGTGGCTGCTGACTGGCTTAACGTGCCTGCGGCCTTAGGACAGTCACTTGTGGGCATTTTGGGATCCTGATCCGCGAACTCAAACTGGCTGGTCTGTGAGGAGGACGCTGGAGCCCCAGGTCCCTGGCTGTCTGAGAGGCACGGCTGTCATCGTATCCTGTGCCCTGGGTGAACCACTTGGGCCTAGAGTCCAGCCAGGGACAAGCTGTCCTGGTGGGATTAGCCTCGACTTTAGGTGCCTGGTCAGGAGGCCAAGAACCTTCCGAGAATGGCTCCCTCGTTCCCTACCCCGCCCCCCGGCCCCCTTGTCTGAGGGGATGAGGGAAAGACCCACAGAGGGTGAGCGAGCGGGTCTGGGGTCCTGGGAGGGCGGGCAGCCCCCTGCTCTGGCTGCCACCTCCCTTCTAGGGCGCCGTGGGCACCGGCATCTGCAAAGCTGTGGGGAGGCTTCCTTCCAGGAATGAAGAGACCAGCAGTAAACATGCACCCCGCGGCAGAAGAGGCCCTGGCCGCGTGCCCCTTGGGAGTGCTCAGGCAAGCTCTCGAACTGGGGGTCAGTCTGCCCGCTCAGGCGCCTTGAACCCTGAGATCTGATGGTCTGGGCTGGTGTGGCTGGGACCTGGCAGGGTGGCTCTGGCTCCGAGCCACGTTCTCGAGAGCTGGTGTTGGTTACAGTCACCTGTGGAACCCCCACTTCACCCCGAGCCACCCCGGCACTGGGGCCTCTGTGCTGGGCCAGCGTGGCGTGTCTCGGGGCGCCCTCCGGGGAGCAGGGCTTTGCTGCAGGTTGAGTTCTAGCCAGTCTGGAACGGCTTGTCGAGAAGACGACTCTGCTCCCTCGTTTCAAGAGAGGCTCAGGACCCTCGCCCCCCGCCGTGGAGGACTGCCCCAGGAGGACAGCAAGGGTGGCGCCAGCCTGGAGGGCGCCGCGTGTGCGTGAGGCCACCAGCAGGGCCACAGAGGCTGCGAGAGGGCGCAGGTCACCGGAGGAAGCAGTTGAGAGGCCAGAGGAGTCGCTGGGAAGGGGCTGGTCGTGCCCCTCCCTGCTCAGGCGCTGGGCCGGCCAGAGGGTGCAGGGCCTCGTCCCTCCTCTCCCCAGGCCTTCCATGGGCCCCAGCACTCAGTGGGCCGTGGTTTGCAAACTGCGAGGGCGGGGCAGAACTCTAGGCGGAGGCCACAGGCTCTGTCCAACCCGCCTCTGACCTTGGGCTGCCTCCAGCGCTCCTGGCCGAGCTGCCTCTGGACTCCCTGAGGCCCCTGGCAACGCCAGGGTCTGAGTCCATGCAGAAAGTGCTTTGGGATGAGTCAGGAGCTGGGAGAGAAAGCGGGTGTTTGCCAGTGGTTGGTTGAGGAGGGAGAGGCCGACACCTGAAGACAGACAAGGGAGGACATGTGGAGAGGCCGGAGCTGGCCTAGGCCATGTCCTGCCTGGCCTGGGAGTGGGGCTGGAGCAGGGACCTTCCCACAGCCTCCAGCTGAATGGGGCTGCGGCTCATCTCCCTGCTGTGAGGACCGGGCCAGCACAGGTAGGAAGGAGCTCCTGTCGGGGGTAGGCCAAGACTCCTCTCACGGGGCTCAGCTGCCCCGTGTCCTGGGTCCTCTGGGCTGTGCCTCATCCTCCAGGGGCCGCCAGGGGGCTTCAGCAACATGCTGGGGAGGGCGAGGGAGGGAGAGGCCTGGATGTGACCACAGAATTGAACTGAGGCTCTAGAAGCCTCTGACCATCCCCCCCACCCCCCGGCGGAGGCCGGGGCCAGGGGCACAGCTGCTTCCTGGGACCCAATAACACAGTTTGTTTTACTGAGAGACTTTCTAACAGAGAAGTTATTTTTAGCTCAGAAAGGAAGGTCACAGGGCAGAAACCATGATCCTTGATCTTTTCCTCCAAATCGCTGAGCAGGAGGCCAGAAGCCAGAAAAACCAGAGGAGGGTCTGGACATACATGCAGCTACACACAGGAACACACTTATTTCCTGCCAGGGCCCAGGAGTGGGAATCCCCCATGTGCTAGATCCCCAGCTCCTCATCCCCGGCTCCTGATTCCCCCTCACCCCCGCCAGCTACAGAGGGGGTCTCGTGAATGTCAGAGATACGTCAAGTTCAGACCAGAGTGTGGCCTGATGGTCATCATCTTCACCATCACCCCCACCCCATCCCCCCACCACCCCATCACCACCACTACCCCCTTCACCACCCCCCCCATCACCCCCACCCCCATCACCACCACCCCCATCACCACTATCAACAGCAGTGGAAGGGTCTGGAAAGGCTGGAATCCCGAGGAGAAGCGGAGACCACGGCTGTCCCAAGGTCAAATGACCAGCCCTGGGTGATCCTTCCAACTTGGGAGCCCGGCAGGCACAGAAGGGGGAGGGACGTGGTGGAAGTTTGCAGGTCGGATTTATTTGCCTTCACAGAGGCTTTGGCTGGACCTTAGAATCCCCCCAAATGTTCACTGTTGAGGTCCTGATGCCGGGGCTACACCCTGGGGAGAATCGAGCAGCACCTCTGAGCGGGGGAGGGGAGCAAGACCAGGTGAGCCCCAGAGGCAGCCAGCGCCTGGGCTGGAGGCGGTTTGATGAGGGGTGCAGGCAGCGCCTCTCCAACAGGGCATCTTGTTAAAGTGCAGATTCCGGCTGAGAGGGCCTGGCTGGCCCCGGCTTGCTCCTTTATCAAGCTCCCGGGACACACCAGGGCTGCCACCGGCCCGAGTACACTGCGTGGCGTGGGTGTAGATGCTGCAGGGGCCAGCGCTGCCCCGGCAGCTCCGAGGCCAGCAGCCCCAGCCTGTTGCTGGGGGATGTTGAATGAGGCTCTGTCCCGAGGCCAGTCCTCGTCTCAGCAGTGGGGGTAAGAGCAAGCCTTGGCTTCTAGAAGCAAGTGTGCCGGAGCAGGCTCCGCCGGGTCGTCGGCGGGCGGTTCGCGTGCCCGGCACTGGAGCGGGAGGCGGGACTGAAGGAAAGTGACCTGTCGGCCCTGCTGGCAGCGCACACGTCTCTAAAGCTGCCCAGGGGTGCCCAGCTCCTCCGCCGAACTTCGGGATGAGTTTTCTCCAGAGGCTGGAAGGTATCCGGACGCAGGCAAAGGAATCGGGGCTCTGGGAGGACAGCTGGAAAGCATAGCCCCCAGCTGCCATGAGGGTCCAGGCCCCTGTGTACCCGGGTCTCCTGTGACTCGGGCGGGTTGCCCAGCCCTGGGGACACGGAGGACTACGTCTCATGACAGGACGCGTTCTTATAACACAGGAGCCAGGACCGGCCCAGAGGGAGGGTACAGGCAGGGAAGAGAGAGGGGACTGGGAGAAGGGGTTCCCGGTGCTCCCCTAAACACACTGGCCTGGAAGTTCAGGCCAGGAGTGGGCTGTCATGGGTTCCGGTCACCACCAGCCCCCTGGCATCCGGGACAGGTCAGAGGCCCCGAGACTGTGATGTGGGAGGTCAGGGGCAGGGGAAGGGCTGGGGTGTCCTGGCAGCAGATGCGGCGCCTTTGTGCGCAAGCACCTGCACTCCCGGCCTCCTGAGTGGGCTGGCAGGTGGCCTCTGCGGGGGCTAAAGAGAACGTATTTGCTGCTGGTCCCTGGAGGCCTCCCCAGCTTCCAGGCGGTGAGGAGAGTGGGCGCCCCAGGCAGGAGCGGCAGCCCAAGGCGTCGCCGCTCTTGGGGGAGGCAGAGCTGGGACCAGGCGGTGGCCTGAGAGTCGGGGCTGCTGCCTGCCAGAGAGGGGTGGGTCAAGCGGGTCCCGGACTGTCTCTGCCACCCCAGAGCAGGGCACCTACGGCCCCCTTGACCCCACGAGCCTGCAGGGTGCCCCCCGGCCTCCTCTGCCTGCCGACCCCAGCCTTGGAGTGGGCAAGGATAGGCCCAGTCCTCTCTCTCTCTCTTTTTTTTTTTAAGATTTATTTATTTATTTATACAAGCACTGGGCACAGTCAGAAGCGCGGGAGGGTGAGAGAATTCACCAGAGCCAGAGCAGAGCAGGCAGAAGGACCGAAGGACACTGCTGAGGGGAGCAGCGGGCGGCAGGAGAGGTCTGCGTGCCATGTGAGACCCTCCTCTGGTGGCGGGGGAGCAGCCGGGGATCGAACGAGCACTGCAGAGGCTGCAGGCAGATTCGCAACCCAGCGCTCAACCACTGCGCCACCGAGGAGGCCCCCCAGTGCTCTCTCTTGACCCCATTTTCCAACTAAATGAACCCCTTGGCAGAGTCCAGGCCCCCGCCCCGTGCTCCTGCTCTGCCCTCCTGGTGCCCTCAGCTCTTCTGGTAAAGCTCTCCGCCCTTAGAAGGGGATCCCCGGGAAGGGGTTGGCTAAGGCCACCGGGAAGCCCAGGCCCCGCCCGCTCCGGGTGTCTCCGCCCCCTCTGCCGTGTCCCTTCTAATCCAAGGCAGCGAGGCCAGCAAATGCCTGCCCATACGGGGACGGAATTGGATGTGACTTAATAAGGTTGAGAGCCGCCAGTAATCCCCTAAGTACTTTGCCGTGTAACCCAAGCCTATCTGGCCCGCAGACACCTGTTTTCGCCCCTGCGCTGAGAGCCGCACACAAGCCCGCTGGTGATGACTCTAGGAACTGACAAGGGCTGGAGCGGGCCCGCGTCTGTGCTGGCTTGGCAGGACCGCCTGGCGCGCCTGGCTGCACGTGCCCGGCCCCAAGGTGGAGGAAGGACTCGGGGCCCTCGGCCAAGTTTCCAGCCCTCTGCCGCCGGCAGGACCCGGGGAGCTGTGCGGGGCCTGGGTCTCCCTCAGGGACGGGCGCGGGGCCTAGCTGCCCAGCCCCGCCGTCGCGCCGGGTGCCCAGAAGACGGGCGTAGGCGGCCCACTCCCAGGACGGGAGCTGGGTTGAGTTAGACTCTTTTGAGAAGCACAGCCGGTGCCAGCCCCGTGAACTGACCACTCGTGTTCTGACCATTTAGAACTGCAAGTTGCTGCTGCGGGTGGCACAGAAGATGTTGGCAATTTGCTGGAGAGTCATTTCTCCGCTGGAGACGCCAGTCTAGAGGAGAAGGAGCGGGGACTCTATGCAGAGGCCACCCCTCGAGACCAGCCCCTGCCCCTCCACTACCCGGATGGCAGGGAGGCCGAGAGCCTGGCGGAGACCACCCCGGGGGCCCCCGCCGCCCCCGCCGCCCCTGGCGCGGACCCCGAAGCCAGCCTCGCCAATGCCTCGGCCTCGGAGTCGGGTGTCCCCGGGGGCCTCGCGGGGTCCGGGGCGGAAGAGGAGGTACCGCCGGGGGTGAGCACCCTTCCTCCAGAAGGAGAGGGGGGCGCCCGGGAAGAGCGGAGGTCAGAACTCAGTGCTGGGGCGGCCCCCTTGGAAGAAGGGCCTGGGCTTGGGCTGCCCACGGAGGGCACTGCCAGCGGAGCGGCCGCAGAGGCCGAAGGACGGGCCGGGAGCGGCGTGGCGCCTGCGGAAGGTGAGGCGACCCTAGGCCGGGGGCCTGAGCAGGAAGCAGCAGCGGCGAGCGCAGCGCCTGGAGCCGAGGGGGCTTCTGCCGGCGTGGCGGTGGAGGGGGCCCGTGCCCCCAAGACAGGGGCCGGTGAGGGCAGCCCGGGGCCTGGTCAGGAGCCAGAAGTGACTGTCGGGGTCGGAGACGTCGACACAGAAGCCAGGGGGCAGGCTGAGGCCCCGGGGGAGCCCAGCTCTAGCGCAGCCCCGGAGGCCAGCGTGGAGACAGAGACGGGGGGCACCCAGGAGGACCCCGCCACAGAGGGCCCAACACCAGGGACGCCTGGGGAGGATCGGGACGCAGACTCCTCTGAAGAAGAGGGTGGCGGCCGCAGCGGAAGCGAGGAAGGAGTTCCGTCCCAAGAGGACTCCGAAGAGGACAGTGGGGGCGGGGCGAGTTCAGAGGAAGCAGTGGGGGAGCCCTCTCAGGAGGCTGGGGAGCTCTCACTGGATGCCAAGGAAACTGGGGAACCCTCACTGGACGTGGGGGAGCTCTCTCAGGAAGCTGGGGAGCCCTCACCAGAAGCCAAGGAAACCGGGGAACCCTCACCGGAAGTGGGAGAACCCTCACTGGAGGCCTTGGAACCCCAGGAAACAGCAGGAAGTGTGAGCGCCAGGAACCAGGGGGCCCAGCCGAGCTCAGAGGAGCAGAAGCCAGGCCCCGGGGCGGACGGGCCTGCGGCGGGGCCTCGGGGTAGGGCATCCCGAGTTTCCCCTGTGCAGAGCTAAGAAGCAGCACCAAAGTCTCTCTGTGGGGGACGGGCAGGGCCAGGGTGGGGCAGGGAGCCCCAGCTGGCCCGGGTTTGGGATGGCGGCCCTGACCCAGGAGCCTGGCCCATGGGGCACCCCGGCTGCTCACCAGCCGCTATCTGAAGGACAAGGGCCGCGGGCCTTGAGGCCCTGCAGGCTGGGGGGATGGTGGGGTGGGGGTGGGTGGGGAACCCCCCAGGTGGGATGGGCTGCGACCCGGTCAGAGGGTGATAGAAGACCTCTGGGGGCAGGGGCAGGGAAGTGGGTGGGGGACAGTGGAGGAGCGGGGTCCTGCTAGGCCCCGCCACCCCACCCCGGCTGTGGCTTGGACCAGGGCTGGGGGGACTGGGGTTAATGTTCACTCTCCCGCTGGCCAACCGCAGGCGTCTCGCAGATTTAGTTTCCATCCTTGGCATCAGGTACTTGCGGCCTCCACGAAGGGGAGGGACCAAGTCCTTCCCCGGCCCTGCCCACCCCCTCCAGCTCACAGGTGGCCCCTTGGGAGTTTCTGTCACCCCCACGCCCCCTCATCCCCGCTAAGACTTCACAGGGAGTTTCCTTGGCTCTCATAGCTTCTGGAACGTTCCTCCTGTGCCCCCATCACCATCTGTGATCATTACACTCCTTGCAAGACTGTTTCCCCTCGAGACTAGGGAAGCGAGGGCGGGGCTGGGTCTGCTTTGGGCGCGCAGAGTCCTGCCAGGCGACGCGTTTGTCGGGGATCCAAGGGGCCACGTGTGGCACTTAAGAGCAGCGAGTTGGGCCTTCAGGGCCCGTCCTGGAGACAGAGCTCTCCCTCCCGGCCGGTCTTCCGAGGGGCTCCTGGCCCTGCGCTGACCCTGCTGCCTGCTTCTCTCCCCAGAAGAGGCGGAGGATGTGAGCGAGGAGGCCCCGCTGCGGGACCGCTCCCACATCGAGACGACGCTGATGCTGACCGAGGACAAGCCGGCCGACGACTACTCGGGTGAGCGGGGCTGGCGCGGGGCTGGCGCGGGAGGGCAGCAGGGCCTCGGGAGCAGGTGCAGGCGGGCTCGGGAGCGGGGTGGGGGGCCGGCCCCTGGGAGGGGAGCCTTGCAGATGGGGCGCGGCTGGGGGCTCTGGGTTGGCAGGGAGGCAGAGGGGAGCAAGAGGAGGGCAGAGGCGGTGGCCCGGGGCCGTGCAGCCCAGGGTGGCCGCCGCTGGGGGCAGCAGGGCGGCGCAAGGGCCGCCCACACTGCCAGGAGATCCGCAGAGGCCGTTCTCGGCCCCTGCGACCCCATCCTGGATCACGGCAGCCCACGGCTCTCGGGGAGGCTTCCCGTTTCCTCCCAGTCAAGGAACTAGCGAAGCTGGGATCCTGAGGGTCCCAGTGCAGGGGTTCGGGGAGGCGTCTGGTGGCCCGAGCCCCTTGTGCCTGATGCCCTGTGGGCTCCCTGCCTGTCCCCGGTGTCAGGCTCTTCCAGAAAGACACTTGGGGTGTTGGGACCGGCAGGTGGAGTTGGGGGGCAGAGAATGGGAGAGGGGGCGCTCATCTGCTCTCAGAGAACCCCAGTTCGCGGCCCTCTGAAAGGCTCCAAGAGAAGCTGCAGGGGGATTTTGGGTTTAGACACGTCTGGGGGTGGGGTGTGAAGCGACAGCACAGCCCCAGGCAGGCCAAGCGGCCCGGGAGGGTGGGCGCACCCGCGAGGCGCCCTGGCCGCCTGACCTGTCCCCGGCCCCCCAGCGGTGCTGCAGCGGCTCCGGAAGATCTACCACTCATCCATCAAGCCCCTGGAGCAGTCGTACAAGTACAACGAGCTGCGGCAGCACGAGATCACAGGTACGGCTTGCGGGGGGCTGCACCCCCGTCCCGCCAGCCCCCGCTGCCCCCAGGGTCCCGGGGCTCCGAGCTGGTGGGCACCAGGCCCATGCAGCTGGGCTCTCAGAGGGTGAGGCCCGCCACGCCACCCGCCGGGCCCTGCGGAGAGGCCCGTTTCCAGGCAGGGGCTGCGCAGGGGTTGCGGGGCGCGTGTCCTTCGAGAGCGTTTCTGTGTGCGGGAGCCTCTGGCTGCCACGGCGCTGCCCCCGACCCTGGGGCTGGAGCCCGCTCCCAGCGCGGCGCCTCGGGTCTGCCCCCGCCCCGGCTTCTCTCGGGTCTGGATTCTCTCCAACTTTGACTTTCAAAATAATGCAAACAAGGCCCGCTGGGCGGGCGGAGGCCCCACCAGGCGCCCAGCAGACACCGGAGAGGAAAACTCCTTCTTGGTTTCTGCTGCTCTGACTTCCCGCTGCCCGGGCGCCGTGTTTCTCGGCCTCTGCGGCACGTCTGGGGCTGCGTTCACGGGTGCGTGCCGCCCCCCACCCCCCAACACCCTGCTTGCCTCGACCCTGCGGTCAGTCTCTTCCCCGCCCCCGGCAAGTCTGTCTGTGGAAGCCAGACCTGGCACTGCGCGCTCTGCGGGCGCTGGCCGAGCGGAGGGCTCCCGCTCCCGCAGCTGCTGGTTTGGAACGTCCTTGGTCTTCTGAACCTTCACAGGGATCTTCCTGTTGCTTGCTGATCTCGAGAGGCCCTGGATGGCCGTGGGGGCGAGGCGCGGTGGGGCCCGTGTTATTCCTGCCTGACAGACAGGACCCGGTGCCCCAGAAAGGCTGGGCTGCAGGCGCAGGGCTGGGAGCGGGCCCTGCTGGGTCACTGCCGTGCTGCTGTTCCCCCGCCTCCCCCAAGCCTCCAGCACTGGAGCCTCTCCCGCTTCACAGGGGTGCCAGACATTGGGGTGACGCCTTTGTCTCCCCATCCTCCACCTCTCCTTCCTCACAGGTGCCCCCCCAGAGTGGTGCTCTGGAGAGAGGTCTTCCAGGTGCTGCTCCCCCTTTTGGGCCTGGCTCCCGGGACCTCATGTCCCCAGTGCCCCGGATGCCTGTCCCTTGGGGAAGCTGCCCCTGTCCCCTCTGTCCTGCGTCCCTTCATGGCTCTCGATTTTGAACCAATAAATTAAGGAAACTACAAACTACTTTTAAACATGAAGGAAAAGACAGGAGTGTCCACTGTTTGGAGACCCCTGCCAGGCCAGGGACACAAGTGCTCCAGTCTCGAGGTGCAGGTGACACTGTGTTCGGGGAGTGACTGCAGCCCATGGTCCAGTCCGCTTGCCCTCCCCTCCCACCTGCTTTTCTCTTTTGCACCCCAAGTGGAGTGGCCCGGGACAGGGTGTCTCCCCGACGTTGCACAGAGGGCCAGGAATTGCTGGGTCCATGCTTGGCCTTGAATGCGAGCCAATTTGCCATGGACTTTAGAGGCTAATATTGGAGACTGGCCCTGGAGCCCAGGGCTGGATGGAGCCCGAGGCAGGCATGTGGGAGACACCGCTGAGGGGGAGGAGCTGGGGCTGCCAGGCCTGGGTGTAGACTGTCCAAGGTTGAAGAAGCCTCTCGTGTGTCCTTTTTTCTGGCTTCAAGCCAGAGAGCAGAGCTTTAACCTCTCCCCACATGGCAGCTCTCTCCTTTTCTTTTTCTAAGATTTATTTTTTAAGATTTATTTTTTTAAGATTAATTAATTAATTAATTAATTAATTTATGCATACAAGAGCTGGGGTACAGGCCAGAGGTGCAGGGGATGAGAGGATTCACCAGAGACAGAGTGGGGAGCAGAACAGGCAGATCTACTGAAATCCACTGCTGAGGGGAGCAGCGGGGAGACAGGAGAGGTCTGCTGCGCTGTGTTGGTCACCTCCCTGGCCGGGGATGGAACTCGTGAGGCAGAGGCTCGGGTAGCTTGATAGGTCGTGTCTTAACCCCTTGCACCACCAGGGAGGCCCCCTCCTCCCTTTCTTTATGAACTATTCTCCTCTAGATCTAACCTGAGTCGCTGGTGTTGCCTTCGCTTACTCCCTCCTCTAGTGCTGCTGCCAAGAGCCTGGGCGGAGCCAGAGTGGCGTCTCCTGGTGCTCAGACATGGCACCACCTTGTAGCTGACGGCACCTGCTTTCCCGGCCCCTGGGGGTTCCACGACCCCGTTAGCGGGACCTTCTGGGGTGCAGCGTGAAGGGTGCTGTCCTCCCACAGTAAGACTCCGACGAGTTCACTTCCGTTTCTAATTCCTGCTGCCCACAGATGGGGAGATCACTTCCAAGCCAATGGTGCTGTTCTTGGGACCGTGGAGTGTCGGCAAATCCACCATGATCAACTACCTCCTCGGGCTGGAAAACACGCGCTACCAGCTCTACACAGGTAACCAGGTTTCCTTGTGTGCCTGTTGGTGTTTCAGTGTCTCGCGGGCAGCACTCCGGATCAGAACACGCCTGTGCTCCCCTCTAATCGTCAACACTCCGTGCCAGACGACAGGCTGCACCCGGCTCGCGCCCCGTTGTCCACAACCGCCAGGCGCCGGGGCCAGCTCCGCTGGTGGGTGGGTAAGCCAAGTCTGGCCCGCCGCACAGGGGATTATCGTTCAGCCTTGAAGAAGAAGGGGGTTCTGATCCAGGCTACGGCAAGGACCCACGTCAAAGGCAGGATGCTCCTGGGATCAGCCAGGGTCAGGACAAACACTGTCTGGCTGCACCCTGCGAGGACTCCGGGCTTGGCGAGTTCATAGAGGCAGAGTAGACGGTGGGTGCTGGGGCGGGGGGATCAAGCTACGATGAGGACAGATGAGGAAGATGAAAAGGTTCTGGGGATGGCCGCGCAGTAACGTGAAGTTCGTTCACGCCAATGTCCACTTGAAATCGGTCCATTTTGGCACAATCAAAAAAAAAAAAAAAAGCCAGCAGCTCAGCCATCACGGTGTCCCCTGGTCCCTGCCATGCCCCCTACCCAACACCCTGCTTGCCTCGACCCTGCGGTCAGTCTCTTCCCAGAGGCAGCCGTGTGCCCACCGAGCTGTCCCGCAGGTGCCGAGCCCACCACGTCCGAGTTCACGGTGCTCATGCACGGGCCCAAGCTCAAGACCATTGAGGGCATCGTCATGGCCGCGGACAGCGCCCGCTCCTTCTCGCCCCTTGAGAAGTTCGGCCAGAATTTCCTCGAGAAGCTGATTGGCATTGAGGTTCCCCACAAGCTCCTGGAGCGGGTCACCTTCGTGGACACTCCGGGTATCATCGAGAACCGCAAGCAGCAGGAGAGGGGTGAGTGGGCATCCTGAGCAGCCTGAGCTGGCTGCTCCACCGCGGGCGTAGGCGGGGCCGAGGAGACGAGGCCAGCCTCATCCAAGGTGCTTCTTTCCTTCCAGCACCTTCTCTGGTCACTGGGGTGCCACTTAGGTGTGGAGTTCCTGCCTTTTACCTCTGCCAGGATGGGCCCGGTGTGGGGTGATCAGTGTTCTCCCCGGGAGCAGTTCCTCTAGGTGCAAGCTGGGGCTGAGCTTTCTGGGGCGGCACCGGCTCTCCCCTGAGATCGAGCCCCTCATCGCACTGACCCCAGGGCAGGTGACCTTGACTTCACCTGCTCTGGGTTGAACTTGACCTTCAGCCCTTCCTAGCCTCAGTGCCCTCTGCACTCGCCTCCATCAGGCTTTCTGAAGCCCCCCTCCACCACCGGCCTTTAGGCACACAGGGAGTGGCACTGGGCCTGCAGGCGCGAGGGGATGCCCCAGGCCAGGGGTCTCCCCAGACACAGGGCTGTCTGCAGAGACGGGTCCCCAGGGATCTTCTGCAGGGAGATGTGACCAGATGTGGGCCTCAGTCTAGGGCTGTGACTCCCATTTTGTTTTTGTGTTTTTTTTTTTTTAGATTTATTTATTTATGCATACAAGAGCTGGGGTACAGGTCAGAGGTGTGGGGAGGTGAGAGCATTCACCAGAGACAGAGTGGGGAAGAGAACAGGCAGATTGACCCAAGTACACTGCTGAGGGGAGCAGCGGGGAGACAGGAGGAGTCTACTGTGCCATGTGGGTCACCTCCCTGGCCGGGGATTGAACTCGTGCTGCAGAGGCTGCGGACAGCCGCATAGGTTGCACCTTAACCCCTTGTGCCACCAGGGCGTGACTCCCATTTTGGCTATAACCAGACCCTGTTTTATCACTAGTGGCAATATTGTCACGCATCTCTATAACAGTGAATTCACCTTAATTGCACTCCTGCTATGCATTGGATATTTTTTGCATTCTTGGTTGATGGTTGTAAGAGATTTTCAAGACAGGCAGGCAGAGTCTCCCCATTTGGGAAATAAAAAGCTAAGGAATTAAAACACACGGAGCCGGGACTCTGGGACTGGCAGTTTTACTTAGATACTTTCCTGCTCATAGCAACAGAGTAATCTTTATACAAACCCAAGTGCTATTGTTCTCCTCAGCCTGGAACAAGATAAAGCATAAGAACATGTCACATCCAGCCTTAGCGGCGAGCCCCCGCGCTGGCCAGGGCTCCCCGCAGGCTCCCACCCTTTCCCTCCATGATGCCTCTTCTCTCTCACGTCTGTCCACGCTCCGCTTTCTTGCCTTGACCTGCCTCAGATCTTTCCGGCCAGTAGGAAAATCCCCCTTCAAAAAAAGAATTGGACTTTCCCTGGAAGTCAGATCCCAGGGTAGAATCAAATTCGGGGCCCGGATTCCACTGCAGACGCAAGCTGGGTCGGGAAGTTCCCGTGCAGGGTCGGGAGCAGGAGCCTCACCCCTGCGGCCCTGGCGTGGTTGGCTCCGGAAGGTGCGCCAGGGGCCTGGGCAGGGCACGGCCTGACCTCACGCCCCTTCTCCCCCTCCCCAGGCTACCCCTTCAACGACGTGTGCCAGTGGTTCATTGACAGAGCCGACCTCATCTTTGTGGTCTTCGATCCCACCAAGCTGGACGTGGGGCTGGAGCTGGAGACGCTCTTCCGCCAGCTGAAGGGACGGGAGTCCCAGATCCGGATCATCCTGAACAAGGCGGACAACCTGGCCACACAGATGCTCATGCGCGTCTACGGCGCCCTCTTCTGGAGCCTGGCCCCCCTCATCAACGTCACGGAGCCCCCCAGGGTGTATGTCAGCTCCTTCTGGCCCCAAGACTACAGGGCCGACACCCACCGCGACCTTTTCCTCAAGGAGGAGATCTCGCTGCTGGAAGACCTGAACCAGGTGATCGAGAACCGGCTGGAGAACAAGATCGCCTTCATCCGCCAGCACGCCATCCGCGTGCGCATCCACGCCCTGCTGGTGGACCGCTACCTGCAGACCTACAAGGACAAGATGACCTTCTTCAGCGACGGCGAGATGGTCTTCAAGGACATCGTGGAAGACCCCGACAAGTTCTACATCTTCAAGACCATCTTGGCCAAGACCAACGTCAGCAAGTTCGACCTCCCCAACCGCGAGGCCTACAAGGACTTCTTCGGCATCAACCCCATCTCCAGCTTCAAGCTGCTGTCCCAGCAGTGCTCCTACATGGGCGGCTGCTTCCTGGAGAAGATCGAGCGGGCCATCACGCAGGAGCTCCCCGGCCTCCTGGGCAGCCTCGGGCTGGGCAAGAACCCCGGGGCCCCCAACTGTGACAAAACAGGGTGCGGGGAGACCCCAAAGAACCGCTACAAGAAACACTAGGAGGTGCGTGGCCGTTCCCGGTTCCTCGTGGTGAACGAGCTCGCGTCCGACCGTCTGAGAAGTCCTGGTGTGTTAACCCTCTGAGCCACGCTGGCGCCACGAGCGCTGGAGACTCGGGGTCCCTGGAGGCCGGGTGGGGGGGTGCGTGGTGCAGGGGCGTGGCAACTGTGAATCGCCTCGGGCCTGTCCTGCCTCTCCAGTGAGGGGCCTGGGCGAGCGGGGCGACCCGCTCTTCCCGGGTCCCCTCCGAGGGGCAGAGCGCAGCAGAGTTCTAGCGTCTGCTGGGTTAGCGGCGTCGGGGCAGCTGGAACCCCGCCTTCCCTGGGAGCCGGGAGCAGAGCGGACCTGAGCGCGGGGCCTCTCGGGCCTGGCGGCCTCCTCCTCCGCCCACCCCCTGCTGCCCGCCCGCGCCTCTCCTCATCTCCAGGGCCACCGCCTTGGGTGTGAATCCGTCTGGCTGGCGAGCCCCTCCCCAGGCCCTCTTCCCGCGCTCCTGGAGAGGCAGGGGCGGTTTAGGGTGCCGAACCCTGCAGAGCGCCCGCGTCTGCCTCTGCGGGCCGCTTCTCTGACTCGTCTTCCAGGCTCCGCTCTTGCTGGCCGGAGGGGCTGTTGGGCGTCTTCAGGTCCCGGCTTCTTGGAAGCGACTCAGAGGCGGCCGGGGGCCCAGAGGGTTGACTGGTGTGCAGTGTGTCTTTGTTGCATGTCTTGGAAAACGGCCCCAGAGGTCTGGTCTTGCGGGAGGATGGCGGAGACCCCGCTCTTTCCCTCCGGGACTTGTCTGGGCAGCCCCCTCGCCCCCGTTGGAGGAGGCTGTCCCGCCCTTCTCTGGGGGGCTCGGCGCCAGGGTGCTCCTCCGGCGGCCATCACCTCCCGCCCTCCCTCTCCATTCTGAGGCGCCGGCAGAACCGAGGGGCTTCTCCGGCGTCAGCACCAGGGGTGGCGCCACGACTTACCCCTCAGTGTCACGTGTGACGGGATGGTGATGCCCACGGCCATCCCGCGGGGACGCTGGGCCCCCCCACCACGAGTGGGGCCTGTGGTCTGCGTGGCCCATGATAGGCCAGGGAGGGCGGGGGAGGTGGCGGAGAAAGGATCCCGCCCGCTGGCGTGCCCCCGCGTGGGCTGGAGGGGCCGTGGGGGCCGGGCACGAGGGGCGGAGAGCGGGTGGGCGAAGGGTGGTGCAGGTGGGGGGCAGCTGCCGGGGACTTAACCCAAGGCGTGTCCGGGATCTGCCAGCACCAGGAAGTTCTCTGGTCTGGAAGGAAAGTGAACCTGAAGGCAGGGGCAGAGGCCGAGGCGCTGGGGCGGGAAGGAAACGGGTCCCCAGGCCAGGGCGCCGCGCAATTCCACTTGTCTGGATTCTTTGCACTCTGGTGGTGCCGGCTGTGATGGCGGCTGCTGCTCTGGCTTCGTGGGATGTCCCGCAGGGGGCTCAGAGGCTCCAAAGCCTCCAGAGCCGACCGGGAAGGAAAAGGGTGTGCTGGGGCACCCAAGGAGCCTGGTGGCCTGGGCCAGACAGCTGCAGGCTCCCCTGGGCTTTCCTGCTCATTGAAACCCACTGTCCACCCCCTCACCCAGCCCCTGAGCGCCTGCCCCCGCCTCGCTCCTGCGCGCCCCCGGGACCCAGGCGCTCTCACTGCGGCTGCTCTTCCCCGAGCAGCAGGGCCACCGAAGACAAACTGTCCTGCTTGCCGGCACCGCGGCTCTGGGGAGGCGTGTGGGAGGCGCTGATACATTCTCACAGTATTTTCATTTCCAGGGGGTGCATATGGCCAGTGTGGTCTTCCCTGCCCCCTTTGGGCTCTCCTGGTCTCCGCCCACTTCCCCAGCCCCTTCCTTCTGCCCTCTGTGCAGGCCTTGGCAGCGCATCCCTCGTGGCCTGCTGGCTTGTCGGGCGGGGCTCGCCGGCCTTGCTCCCAGCTGCGGGGAGGGGGGCTTCAAGCACAATATGGGCTCTTTGGGGGGCGGGGTGGGGGCAGGGAGCAGGGAGCATCCGGAGATCCCCCAGACGAGGCGCTAAGTATTTGTGCCCAGACAGCAGCTGTTTCTCTCCAGGGCGTGGCGGGCTCGGTCCAAGCGGATGTCACCAGGGCGGAAGCTCAATAAAGTCGCCATCTCTCCACCGCTGTGCGCGCCGCTGGTCTCCGAGCTGCTCAGACTTCGCCTTTTTAGGGCAGTTTTAGGTTCACGGCAAGATGGAGAAGAGGCGCCCCCGCCCCCACGCCGCCTCTCCATCGGCAACACCCCCCAACCTGCGTGGGACGTTTTCATGAGTGACAAACCCACTTTGTCACGTCTCAGGTGCCCGGAGTCCGGAGCACGTTAGGGTTTGCGCCTAGTGGGGTCCGTTCTGTGGGTCTAGGCGAGTATCAGGGCGTCAGACCCTCATCCACAGGATCGTGCAGAGACTTCACTGCCCCGAAAGCCGCCCGCTCTGCTTACTCACCCCTGCGCCCTCCCAGGCGCTGACTTCAAGTCTCTTGGGGGAGAGTGAAAAAGCTGAGCTTGCCTTTGCTTGCCCCGGCCCCAGCCCCCACCCCCCACCTCCGCCCTTCTCCACACGCGCCCTCTGTCTCTAGCCTCCTGCCTCCTGCAACGGGCCTGTCCCCTCAGCTGCGGGGAAGCCAGGACTTCCTGCTGTGTAGCCTGGAACTTGGCAAGGACTGTCTGCTCAGCTCCTGGACTTGCCATTTTCCCCTCCAGCTGCCCCGTGGCAGGGTCCCCAAGCCTCCCCTCGAGGCCGCGGGGCCGGCATAAGGTGCTGCTGCTCCCGTCCCTGTGGCGCTGGCGGAGGGGCTGAAGGGTCGGGGCACGTCCTGGGGCTTCTGCAGGAAGCAGCGTCCCCGCCCCGCCCTGACCTGGGTCTCCCGTCTTTGGAGATACCCGAAGGCGTCCTGGACTCTGGTGTCCCCTTCGAGCAGAGCTCCTCTAATCTTGGGGTTCCCCTGAGGGTTTCACACCCTGCTTGACAGCATATTTCCAAAGGGGAGAACTTCGGGGCTGGAGAGGAGGAGAAGGGCTGGAACGGGGGCCCCACAGTGGACAGTGAGACCAAGAAACAACGCAGCCACCGGTGGAGCCACCCCACGGGGTGCAGGGGTGCGGGTGCAGGTGCGGATACATGTGGGCCTTGCTCTGGGCTTGCCTTGTCAGGAGGGGGGCGAGGGGAGCGGGGCAGTTCATCTCCTCCTTCACTCCCTCCTCCTCACACGGGGTCTGCGGTCCACAGCCTGAGCACCCTGACCTAACCTGGGCCACCCCCCATCCCAGGCCACCCCTCAGGCCAGTGTGTTCCCACCCCTGGGGAAACTGGGCTTTTCTTGGAGAAGGGAGGTAGATGAGGTGCGTCTGGAAGATCAACATAGTCTGCCAGAGCCAGCTGGCGTGCCTGACACCTACCACCTTCACACTAAGAGGCCCGCGGCAAGTCCATGAACGTGGCAGCCGTCGAAGAGTGTCCCGAACACAGCGGGGCGTGCAGACCTGAGTGGGGAGTGTCCGTGCAGGGAGGCTCCTGTGCCAATCGGGCAGGTGGCGGGACAGGTCGAGAGGGGTGCAAGTCTGTAAGGCTGGGCGTGTGAGAAGTGGATGTGGGTGTGTCAGTGGCCAAACAAAGCCCGAGGACCCAGCAGAGCACCAGTTCACCACCGCAGAGCTGCCGGGATGGACAACAGGTGGACGGCGGCTGCGTGGAACAGGCTCTGCGCTGTACCGTGGGGTCCAGCACGTCTGGGGGACAGGCGGGTGTGGCTGCGGAGAGGCCAAGTGTGAACGACGTGGATGTGGATCACAGGAGCATGTGTGCACACAGAGGGGGCTATGGGAAGCACCCAGGGGTCCGCCAGGGTGGAGGTAGGGGAGGTCCGCCTTAGGGTGCCGCCCGCCCCGGTGCGCGTCTGAGCTTGTGGAAGTTCCCTCTGGCAGATGTTATGCCAGTTCCCTCATCGTCGTGATGTTAGGCTCCAACTTTTAACAATCCAGGGAAACCTTCATTTTTCTTTAGGAGACCATAAAAACTATCAAAGAGAGCACCAGAAAAGTGGAGAATGAGGGCAGCGAGGTGCGGTTGCCGGCAGCTGGTGTGGCCGGCAGGTTCTCTCGCCCGAAGGCTAAGTCTCCACAGGCAGCCTGGCTTGTCCCGGGCCCTGTGGGGAGCTGCTGCCTTCCCATGGTGTCAGCCAGGCGGGAACAACTTCTAGAGGCCTCCTTTGTGCCAGAACTGGGCTCCTGCCCCAGAGGCATTACCGCACTCTCACCTTATGGTAATGGACGATTCTGACAAGGGATTTATGTGCACCATGTTGCTTAATCCCCAGCCACCTCTCCAGACGGTCGTCGTCCAGCACGTGCACACACACCCTGGAGTCATGGTGCTTGGGACTCACCACGGGCTCCAGCACTCGCTAGCTGGGCAGCCTTAGGCAAATCACTTAACCTCTCTGTGCGTGTTTTCTCACCGGTCACAGGGAAATATAAACATCTCTTTCGTGGGGTCATGAGGATTGAAGGACTTGATACATGCAATGTTGTTCAAATAGTACACAGCTCACCGTAGCAGCCAGTGGTTTGGTATTTGTCGTTGTTGGTCAGCACCTGAGGTTTCTAAGTAACAAAACATAAAACATTTAAAAGGAATTATGTCCTCAACAGCAACAATAAAACCCCCAAAACTATACCCTTAACTCGATTACACATCTGACATTCACCATTATCATTTTATAAAGTAGATGGGGCAGGTCTTATTTTTTATCCCTAAATCAAAATCAACCTGCATCTCCAGAGAAATCAAGTTCAAGTTCAATGAGCAAATTTGACAAATCAAAGGAAAATGCCTATTTTCTGCTCCTGCAGCTGTTCTCACTAATGCAGACGATCGCACTGATCTGTGTTCGTCTGGAGCCTAGGCCCAGCTGCGTGCAGCACATTTGTCCTACTCGATAGAAAGAGTGATTTTGCACCTGCAAAATGTGTTAAAAAAATTGTTGGTTATATTTCCATTTTCTCCAAACTTTTGGATTTTTTCCTACCACGACTCATGGGATTTGGGAGCTGTATTTATTGGGACACAGACTCTGCCCTAGGGGAACTAACAATAGGACACGGGGTACAAGGCACAGAACGGGGTGCTAAGAGAAGTCCTCAGGGAAGGGGGAGGACCCCGGTTCTGGCAGGGGGCTTCTTCCTGGTTTGCAAATGTAGTTATTAGAAAAGTCTGACCAAGTCACAAGAGCTGCACGGATCTAGATTCCCAGGACTGCATTGTGAGTGCACGGAGCACACGCACACAGCTCGGGACTCCCCAGGAACACTGAGGCGTGCGGTTGTTCTTTGGGAAGGGAGGGGTGGGCCTGGGAGGTCAGAGAAGGGGGACCCTGGACCCCCAAGGGAAGGCATCTGTGTGTGGAGGGTGAGGAAGAAGGTGAGCCAGTTAAGGAAGAGCACGCCTTCAACAGAAGCCCAGAGGCTGGGGCCTGGCTGCTTGGGGTCCCGAGCAGAGCAGGGGGTGAAATCAAGGAAGATGAGGCTCAGTACTCAGTTATCCTGACCACCCAGATACTGACCCTTGGACAGTGCCCCCTCAGACCCGGTGACCCCCACCTGCCTCCGGCCTGCTGGGTGGGACGCACTGCATCTGGTCCTCTCCTTGCTCTGTCCCCCACCTAGGAGCTGCGAACCGGCTGCTGGAGCCCCATAAGGAGGCGGCTGGACAAAGCCCACCCCATCGGTCAGCCTGGCTACTCTGGAGCCCTGGCTGGGTCCTGACCCCAGTCAGCTCAGGGAAGGCCCACTCTGGGTCCAGGGGACCAGGCCCTATAGGCTGGTGTGTCAGGCAGTGAGGACTGGCTGCTTCTTCCTGCGGGTGGGGGTGCGGGTCTGCGATGGCGTGAGGGGGCGCAGCTAGAGCTGGGGCAGGGCCAGCAGCCGCATCCTGTGCTTCCGGCTGGATAGAGGGGGCCTCATGCCGCCCGGTGTACCCCTCGCCCAGGAGGGGGACCGAAGGCCAGAGCAGTGACACCATAATGTCAGGTCTTCAGGCCTCGCCTCCTGGGCAGGAACGGACCCCAGGCTGCAGGGGCAGGGCTGAGCCCAGCCACGGGGCCACACCAGGGGTGTCTCCCGAGGCTGCAGCAGGAACTTTG